TAATAATAATAATCCTAAAGAAATTACTTGAGTAAGGCGTTACTCTAGTATAATCCTAATGGGAAAAATATCCTTACTTCAGCGTCAGACACGACGAGCAGGAGTCCCTTCTCGTGCTCCTGAAAGAAGTGTTGTGTTCTAAGGCCTCTTGGGGTTTTCCTCCTGCAGGGCCAGTTACTTCCAAATGACAGAAGAGGTGATGAACGACACAGTGAGCTGAGCAGGCAATCAAGCTGCACTGCCGGGTCTGAACACCAGATGGGACCATAAGACTTGACAATGCGCTCTGATTTTTCCCTTGTGAGGTGAATTAGTCTGCAGGGTTTCATCTGTAGGTATAGTTTTAGAACCATGGTAACCATAGTAAGAACCATGGGAGGAATGTCCTGTAGCTGTAAATTCTTAAATCGCTAAATGTGATCTCATACTATCTTTACAAATTGCGAATTTAGCAACATCCACGTTTCTCTTTTGTATCATATCATACCATAGAAATATCATAGTTCTGTTCTTTGACAGAAAAAAGCTAAGCACAGGGACAACATCTTGTATATTTTATATTAGTTTCAGATTACAAACTTCATTTATTCTTGAGTCAGTAGGTTTCTTGAAAAACGCAGCTAAGGATATTTTTGTAATGTTGGCCAGCAGCCATTTCACCCCACAGCTCACAACTGACAACCTACTGAAGCTCAGTAGGGGTGAGCCTGGCCAGTACCTGGACGGGAGAGCTCCTGGGAAAAACTTAGGCTGCTGCAGGAAGAGGTGTGGTGGTGAGGCCAGCAGGAGGCTATGTGGGTCTATGTGGGTCCCAATGCCCCAGCATAGTAACGGAAACATTGTACGTAAAGATCTGAGTCCTGACTCTTTGGTCATTTAAAAATCCCAGGGTGTTTCTCAAAAAGAGTAGAGGTGTTACCCCAGTGGCCTGGCCAAATTTCCCATTGGCCCTTACCAATCATGGCCTCCTAATAATTCCTATCTTTGATATGGCTCAATCACTCTGTGTCAGGAACAGTTCTTTCCGGTCCCTATGCAGACGACATGATCCAGGGTTGAGTGAGGAAAAACTGGGGGAAAAGGCATGCAGGATACGGGGATGAAGACATGGGGGCATGTCCAGGGAGTGCTGGTGGTCGGAGGGGGTGTAAGCGAGGCAAACAATCCAGGCACGAGTCCAAAGAGAAATCCAAAAACAGGTCCAAGGCCAGGTGATCCATCCAAGAGAGAAGATTAAAAACCAGAGCTGGGTCGGGACCGGCAGGGGGAACGGGAACAGGAACAGAATCTTAAAACCATAACGGAGCCAGACGCATCCAGGTCCCGGGCTCGCATGATGCGGGAACCAATGCACAGCCCGGATTAGCGTCAGCGTCTGGCTTTTAAGGGGGAACTGAAAAGGGGCTGGAACAAGGAACAGGTGCGGGGAATGAGGAAAACAAGGAAGGGCTGGAGCGCCCTTAAGAGGGGGGTTTGCGATCGTGACACTCTGCTCTCCTCCCCACTGAGTGCTGGTGTGTGGGGAGTGTACTGGCGCACTATGGCTGCAGTCGCATCATCCAGATGGTTCTGCATACTGGAAGTGGTGGAGGGGATCCCCATTACCTGTAAAGTACTTTGAGCGAGGTGTCTAGAAAAGCATTATATGAGTGTAAGCAATTATTGTTATTAAGATCAATCTTAGTTAAAACCTTGAGAATGATTATTTATACTACACTTTAGGAAACATATTTACAGTTATATGAATGACTTTCATGTTATTGTTGCCTCTTGTAGATGTAGTTATGTCTTCCTCGGTGTGTCACAGAGCAGAATGACAGGGGCGGGCCAGGAGCTGTTCTGGACCCCACAGCGAGGGCGGCACGGCCCGGAGTAGCGGCCGGCGCACTGCAGGAGAGACTCCGCTTCACTGAGCCGGGTGCAGGAAGGGAAACCAGGGACAGGGCAGGACAGGGCGCTAGAACTCGGGCCGTCCACCAGGTGGCGCACCAGGTACCAGGCTGATCAGAGCGCGCTCTCTTCAAGGTGGGGCAATGTCTCCTGTAGAGACCAGGCCAGGCGCGCACTCTCAGGGCGCCAGGGGCTAGGGGCCAGGAAAAAGTGAGCTGTGATGTGAGGTTGAAGCGCTGTGGAGAGACAGGGGGCCCAGCCTCCGCTCCCTGGACTCTGTCGTCTGCTGTCGCTGTGGTCAAGTACTCAGCCTACACATGATAAATTGCCTGAAGACTGGTTCCAGGGAAGTTTATTTAAAAATAAAATATTGAACAATTGAAGTACAGACGTATAAGTGACAAAAAGCAGTGATTAGATGATACCCGAAGAAATGTATTTTAGATCTTGGCGACATTTTAACGTTTGTGTCCAACTGTTTCTACAAAGAAACCCCTGAGATAGATTTCTAAAGTGATAAGTCACCTGTGTTCTTTGCATTTGCATTTGATAACTGGGTGTGTTGTGACACGTTCACAAATCAATTACAAATTTTCACTTCAGGTTGTAAAAATAAATCTGCTTCCCAGTTCTTATTTTTGCCTCTTTAAAATGAAGCGGTTTAAGTGTTGCTTGCAGGACTGGCTCACAGAACGCGAGAGCTCTGATGTTTTTTCGCTGATAACATCCCAGAAAATTCTCAAAAGAAAATCATCCGAAGAGTGCAAACGACAGACAGAAAAGGTCCAATAAGGCGGAATTCAAAGTTACGATATATTTACGGTCTAAATGATCCGTAAGGGTTGCTGTTCCTGTTATTCAAAGGGTCTTTGTTTCATCCGAATCCACCTGATAACATTATTGTTTGCTTTCAGAAACGTCATTTTGAAAAGAGAAACAATATTTTCAGTTTTCCGTAGTCGACAATTCTAATGAAATGTTTAAGATGTTAAATACACCCAAGACAAATTTGAATTGATTAAAATATATATATATAAACTGTATGCAGTGGTTATTTCACCCTGGAGTATGTTAAATCCTGGGTGAAATAATTTTCAATTCCCCATCTGAGTTATACGCTGTATTTCTTCAACATGTTTGCGGCTTGTGTTGGACTCTGGTCGGATCCTGAAAAATACACACAGAAAAAAAAGGGTTATTGATCCACCATTTAACAGTTTAAGCTTCAGATTATATCCTAATTATTTGGTGTAGGGTTTGAGAAAGAGCAATTTATCCTCAATTAGCCAGTCCGCATCAATCATTCCTCTTCTGTAAGGGGTGTCGATCGATTAGCACTTTCCCTGTAATGTGAAATATAGCCGTATTTAGCAAAGAAACGGAGTGTTCGTACACCTGAAAGAGGGAGACTCCCTTCAGTTATAGATCGTATTCACAGCAAGTAATTCACATTTTAAGAAAATGAACATGCAACACTTAAGAGTAAAAAGAAATGAGTGGAAATTATTTTTTTACTACGCATTTCACAAAAACACATCGTGCGATGGCATGCTGCTTTAATTTAGCAGAATTGTCAATTCAGCAAAGGACTGAGAGTTGCACCGCTTCTCTAGAAACTGGTCCTACTGTATGTCTGGGTGTCCTGGAGTTTTTTAAACGGGTATCATGTCAGTCTTTAAAGTTTCCGTTAAAAGACCTGAAAGACACACAGTAAAAGCGGGTTATTACTCTCAGTAAGAATCCAGTAAGCAGCTCGCATGTAGACATCACCATAGGGGTGGTAGGAGATGGCAGCTACCAAATTTCTCCTATTGTCTTAAAATTACCAACAAAAGAACGTGTAAACGCAGGTAGACCTTGTGTTATATTGAGAATCGTGACTATTTTGTACTTTATTTCAACAGGTCTTTAGCAGGCTCTGTAAATATTACAAAACACGGTGAGAAATAACGACGTCTGAGCGTCTTTCACCGCGCCGAAGGCGCTTCAGAGTGGTGTCCGATATGAATGCAAGTTCTGCTCAGAATAGCTCGTCTTGCGAGGCAGTTCGGCCAGGTGTACTGCTGCAGAGGAGAATACTAGTCTGCCTTTTAGAAGTACATCCTGTTTAAGAAAGCAAATAATATAATTTTAACATAGAACCCCCATAGGAGTCCCAGCCACCCAAAGAAAATCCTGGCTACACTACTGTTTGAAAACGCAAATGAGTGGGGCTACAGGGAGCACGCCCGGACGGGACAGAAAAGTTGTTTTAATACAAGAGAGATTAGAACTATTATATTTAAAATAATACTAGAGAGAAGAGTGCAACATTCAAATCACTTCCTAAATCGTTTTATCTTAATCCAGTTACCTTTTTCTCAGTGGGGGACAGACTCTCCCCCACACTGTCTTCAGCACAGCCTCCCTGAGAGCGGGGCTCCCCCAGATGTACAGCCCGGGGGTACAGGTTGCAGTGAATCTTATCATCATGCTAAAAGGGTCGCTGGCGTTGTTTTTAAACATGTATCGTGACCTGGTCACTTGAACTACGATAATGTAGTAAAAGCGAGGAGTCCAGAGCGCCAGGAAGCAGACTACCACCACGATGATGAGTCTCAGGGACTCTTTCTTGCTGTCTCTCTGTGGACCCGGCGGCTCGCGAGCAATCTGGTATTTAGCGATGAGGTACAGCTTCACGTTCAACAGCACTTTCAGGATTATTATTATTTGCATTGTCAGAATCCCATATGCGTTCATTCTTGCAGCCATTTCGATCGTTATGAGATTCTGAACCAATAAGAAAAAGTAAGTGTAAAACCAACAAGAAACACAAACTCCTATAACTACAGTCCTGGATACATAACGATTGTAAGTATAAGGATAAACTACTGCAAGGAATCGGTCCACCTGTGCAGACATGATGGTCAGAATATTGACTCCCAGTAGCGAAGGCAGGATGAAATAGGTGCCGTTTTTGGACGGATAGCCCTCCTGTACATCAAACAGTCCGATGTAGTAACCGCCTAACCCGGTCAGAGTGTCAGATATGCTGGTGTTCAGCATGAAAATAAAGCGATTTTGTGCTCGCAGTTCCTTTTTACACATAATACCCAACACCACCGAGCCAGCCACGAGAAAAGAAGTCGTGGCTATCAGTAGATTGGTTATAAAAATGAAATAATCTTCAGCATCATTAAAGTCCACCGCTAACGGCACAGTGAGGTTCAGAGAAACCATTGCGTGGAGAAATGAGTCTCTGGCGATGCTGCTCTTGAGTTTTAACAGCTGACTAGAACGCAGATGTCTCATGTTAACTAAGTCACTGCATGCCTTGGGCTTCGTGTCTCCCGAGTACAATTACTTGCAAGTTCAGAATCCTAGGGTAGTTTGCATTTTCCTGGAGAAAAAAAAATCACAGGTGGATTCCCAACGTAATATAATTTACTTTATTTTCTTACCGTTTGCGATAAATATACGGTTAATAAACCCGAATTGCGATCTTTGTCACAGGAGACGTTTATATATGCATGGAAAAAACGAACAAAGTTCTATTTTTTAATATACTATATACAGCATATCAAAGATGTGCTACCCAAACAAAATATTGAGGCTAGCTTTGATCACCTATAGAAATCAATACACCTATAGAAATGTCTCCAATAGAAAACAGAAGAGCTTAAGAGGAGAAGGAGGAGAAGGTGTTCACACACATGGCTATTTTAATCATATTATGCTTCTTCCCAACTTTGAAACACTTTCTAAGAGTTTTGTTGCTTCCAAGATTGACAACCTCTCTCCACAACGCATGTTACTACTACACCTTGTCCTTGCAAGCCTAGTTTTGCCGGTCCATTCTGTATAGTTTCT